AGTTCCCTGAGCCATACAGCAAATTCCCACTGGTTTTCTATTTCACATGTGGCAATGTAAGCTTCCATGGTACTCTCTCCATACATCTCACCCTCTCTTCCCCTCTCCCCATGCCCATAAGTCTGTTCTCTATGTCTGTTTCTCCATTTTAATACTGATTTATTTATTTGGTTCTCCCAGGTCTTAGTTTGGCTTCCCAGGTGGTCCAGTGGTAAAGAATCTGCCTGCCAATGCAGGAGACATAAGAGATGCAGGTTTGATCCTTGGGTTGGGAAGATCTCCTGGAGAAGGAAAGGGCAACCCACTCTAGAATTCTTGCCTAGAAAACTCGATGGGCAGAGGAGCCTGGTGGGCTACAGTCTATGGGTCACAGTCAGACACGACTGAGTGACTGAACACACACACACACACAGACACACACACACAAACATACACACACAGACACAGACACACACACACACACACACACACAGAGGTCTTAGTTGCAGTGCACAGGCTGGGATCTTTAGTTGAGGCATGTGAACTCTTAGTTGCGGCATGTAGGATCTAGTTCCTTGACAGGGATTGAACCCTGGCCCCCTGCATTGGGAGCCCAGAGTCCTAGCCACTGGACCACCAAGGAAGTTCCTGTAATACATATTTAAAGCTTTATTTGGACAGTTTTCTCTTTCCTTGAAAGTTTTGGGAAGTACATGATGCCCATTTTTTTAGTTACCATATAATTTACCAGAGGCCCATAAATCTTTTGTTATAAGTCACAATCCCTCCCCTAAATCCTGTTCTCTGACCCCATGTCAATTATCAGGTGTTAGCCGTGTGCTATTTCTTTTCCAAAGTCAGACTCTTCACACAGAGACGAAAATACCATCCACAACCCCATGTCCTTCAGCATCGTCTTTGTCCCAGGCTTCTTAAGGTTGTATAACTTGTTCTCACATGTATCAACTCAAATACGAGATTGCCTAACTATGACAGATGCCATATCAGGCCTCAGAACACACTGGAGGAAGGAGTATCATTAGCAAGGTCAGGTCTACAGAGCGTTCCTCCTACCCCTTAACAGAATCACCAACCAACAGACTGGGGTCTTGTCTTCCTGGGCTGGAGGAGGGCTCTGTGCATCTGTTGGCATCAATGGATCCTCCTTAATCTAGGAATTCATTATACTCACAAGTGTCAAGCTAGGATTGTCTTTCCTCCTCAACCCTAGAGAAGAGTGGTGTTTAGTGGGATAAAGGTAAAGACTTCTCTGGTATAACCATGGTGAACTTATGCTATGGAAAACAGTCAACATGAGCAAATGAAGAAATGGTTTGTCTTGAGCTATTTCCCCTGGATGGCGTTGGGACTGACCCTCAAAATCTCAAGTACCTTACTTGCTTCTTTCTGCTAGACTAGGACCCTGGGGACTTCCCCGGTGGTCCAGTGGTTGAGAGTCTATCTTGCAATGCAGGGCATGTGGCTCTGATCCTTGGTCAGGGAACTAGGATCCCACATGCTGTGGGGCAGCTAAGCCCATGCACTGCCACAATTGAAGAGAAGCCCATTTACTGAAAGTAAGACCTAACACAGCAAGTAAATATTTTAAAAAAGAGAGCGTTATAGATAGACCAGGACCCTGGTAGAGAGGGTGGAGCTCAGAGAGAAAGGAGCCTCTAGACCCCATCTAAGGAGGATTCAGTGTGAACTGATAGGTCACATGATGAGAAAAGTGATGTTTTGCACCAATTATTGCACACTATTATCAGCCAGTAGGATTATTTTCTATCTGGTTACAAACTGTACCTGCAGCTGTGGGCTTTCGGCATGACATGCCAGAGTGAAGAGAGGTATTCATCAAGAGTTCACCGCCCTTTTGGCAATGAAGTCAGACTGCATTTTTAACACACATATTTTGGTGTCTATCCCTGAGGAGGAAGTTATATTTAGCACATTTCCTGCCAGCCACCGAACAGTGCAAGACCTTCTGAGTCTGGAGTTAGTCACAGCCCTTTATGTCTATCTGTGGAAGGTTTCCTTGTAAACTGCTAGGCCTGTGAGGAGCCTGAATTGATAGCGTGAACTGTAACCATAAATCCTTAGAACCCACCAGGAAAGGTGCCGATTGGGTGATATGTTCATAGTGATTTCTTAGTCGCTGCCCTGGGAAGGTCAGGAAGGCCCCAGTCAGATAGAGTGTGTGTGTGTGTACACGCTGGCACGCATTCATGTGCTGAGTGTGGTAGTGTAAACAGGGCACTCTGAGTGACCTTTCTCAGACTTAAAAAAAATTTTTTTTTAACTAGAGTATCGTTGATTGACAATGTGTTAGTTTCTGTTGTACAGCAAAGTGAATCAGTTATACATATACCTGTATCCATTTTTTTGATTCTTTTCCCATACAGGTTATTACAGAGTATTGAGAAGAGTTTCCTGTATAACTAGTGTATAGCTATACATTAGTTAATCGATTTTATATATCAATTACAGTCTCCTAATTTATCCCCTCCCTCTTTTCTCCCCTGGCAGCCATAAGTTTCTTTTCTACCTCTGTGACTTTATTTCTGCTTTGTAAATAGGTTCATTTGTACCGTCAGATCCTTCTTGTACCTGCCTCTGAGCAATGTGTTTGCACTGTGTTGGAAAATCAGGTCAGGATGTTATGCAGCCTCCCAAAGAGAAGTGGTTCTGGAGCAAACAGGGGATGGACTTTCAGGGCCATAGGCCCTCCTTCTCCACATGGATCTCCTGGGTCAAGGGTCAGAGACACAAAGTCTCTCAGATCAGTGCCTGCAGACAGGGGGCATCAGAATCTCCCAGGGCATGTGTTTAAATGCAGATGTCACAGTCTAACTCCACTCAAACTCTGGGGTATACAGTCCGGGAATCTATATTTTTAAAAAGTACCCCAAGTTGTTTTGTGATGTGAGCAGCTTTGCCGACTGCTGTCTCACTTGGCCTTTTCTCCAAGGGGATGGTAGCGCACTCTGTGTTGACATCAAGTCCTTTTGACTTTACCTCCTAAACATTTCTTGCATCTTCTATGTGTCTGCTAGTCCCTGGCCAAGTCCAGTTCAGTTCAGTTCAGTTCAGTCGCTCAGTCATGTCTGACTCTTTGCGACCCCATGAATCGCAGCATGCCAGGCCTCCCTGTCCATCACCAACTCCCAGAGTTTACTCAAACTCATGTCCATCGAGTCAGTGATGCCATCCAGCCATCTCATCCTCCGTCATCCCCTTCTCCTCCTGCCCCCAATCCCTCCCAGCATCAGGGTCTACTCCAATGAGTCAACTCTTCGCATGAGGTGGCCAAAGTACTGGAGTTTCAGCTTCAGCATCAGCCCTTCCAATGAACACCCAGGACTGATCTCCTTTAGGATGGACTGGTTGGCTCTTCTTGCAGTCCAAGGGACTCTCAAGAGTCTTCTCCAACACCACAGTTCAAAAGCATCAATTTTTCAGCGCTCAACTTTCTTCACAGTCCAACTCTCACATCCATACATGACCACTGGGAAAACCATAGCCTTGACCTGATGGACCTTTGTTGGCAAAGTAACGTCTCTGCTTTTTAATATGCTATCTAGGTTGGTCATAACTTTCCTTCCAAGGAGTAAGCGTCTTTTAATTTCATGGCTGCAGTCACCATCTGCAGTGCTGCCTGTAACTCTGGCCTGGACCACTGCGGTGGCTTTCAAGCTTCCCCTGCAGGGACTCATCCCCCACCAGTCGGTACTCCACATAGCAGCAGCGAGAGTGGTCATTTCCAGTCTCAGATTCTGTCACACTCCCCTCATTCTGACCTTCACTCTGATATTTCTTCCCATTGCTTTTGGATGAATATAACATTCTTCTCACAGCCAGAGGCCCGGATCACCACCCACCTCCCCAGCCTCTTCTCCCAGCCATTGTCCCTGCTAATAGGTGTCTCCACAGACCCGCCCCCACCCCCTTCACTGCCCTTCCTTCAGGCTCAGAGGTCATCACCTCTCCAGGTATGCCTTCCCAACCTCTCAGGGGCTACACTTTTCAGTCTCAGTTTTATACTGATTGATGTAATAATCTGATTAAACACAAGTTTCCACATAGAATGTAATTTCTCATGAAGGCAGGGGCCATGTTTCTTCACTATCATAGCCTAGTTATTACCAACAGTGATACCTGTTGATACCCCTGGTAATAACAGGCACTGCTGGTAATGATTTGAACATGTTTGGGCACTTGGCACACCTCACTTCTCTTGGCTCAATCAAAATAAAAATGTACTGAACAAGAACTAGGTGCCAGACCTGCCCCTTATTTCTTAAGCAGCTTGTGGTCTGGGGAGGAAAGACAGGCATGAAACAAGTGACTACAAGTATAAGTTTTACAAAGGGGCATTTGAGTAAGCCACGGATGCACAGAAGAAGGGGTGCAGGTCTCGTCTGGGGCGGGGGGTAGGTCAGTGGAAGGCTTCCCTGCATAATGCATATGGAACATTTGAACTGAGGTGAGGATGAGTGGTTTCCCTGGTGGCTCAGATGGTAAAGAATCTGCCTGTAATGCAGGAGACCTGGGTTCTATCCCTGGGTCTGGAAGATCCCGTGGAGAAGGGAATGGCAACCCACTCCAGTATTTTTGCCTGGAGAATCCCATGGATAGAGGAGCCTGGCAGGCTGCAGTCTATGAGGTTGCAAAGAGCTGGTTACCGCCGAGTGGCTAACACTGAGGGCAAGCAGAACAGGGCATAGGGAGCCGTCTGGATAGAGGCCACGGTGAACTTCAGATGACAGGGCTATTTAATGGGCAAGGAGGGAGCACTCAGTTCAGCCTAATTCTCTATCCTCTCAAGTGGTTGGCTGAGATGAACTGTGCTGACCTGGAGACTGCATGGGGTCCAGAGGGCAGATGATGCACTAAACCGGGGGGCTTGTGCATGGTACCTCTAAGGGCCCCTCCTCTGACTCAGACATCACAGGAGAGGTTGTGAATTCAGCACCACCCCCAGCATTCTTGTCAGAGCAATATTAAACATCATCACCATGAGCGGTTTTGACTCATTTCTTTATTAATATAGAAAAGGAGCCCAAGGCAGCTGGACCAGTAGTACAAAGCACCAGGAGTTAATACTATTCTGGTGAAAGGGTTGGCTTTACAAAAGTGAAGAAGTAGGTGGGAGCGACCCTAGTTCTGGGGCCAGGCCCCGCCTACTGCCCAGAACTAGCCCCTGGGAGAGAGTGACAGGTAGGTCGGGGACAGATGAGCTGGAGACCAGAAGGACAGGCAGCAGGGATGGAGGGCCAGGCAGTGAGAACCATCCTGTGGCTGATGAGGACAGGGAACTGCTGGCTGGAGGCTCCCCACTGGACCCTGGGCAGAGGTTCACATGAGCAGGCAAAAAAACCCTGCAGATACTAGAGAGGATGGGGATCCAGACTCAGCTTGGGGTCGAAGGGCCTTCCCTTCTCTCCGTCAGGGGTCACTGTTCTCAGTACTACGGGTGGGGCTTCAGGGCCCAAGGCACAGAGGGAGGCCCAGAGGCCTCCCAGTGGGAGAAAGAAGGGGCAGGGAAGGAAGCACTTGAGTGTTCCCAGCTTAGGCAGCCAGGGCTGAGACACAGAGCAGGAAAACAGAATCCCCGTACAGTGAGGCTGGAATGTGCGGCCAGGTGGGCTTATCCTTGGCCAGGACCAGCCCCGTGGCCTTGATGCCTGCCTCAAACCTTAGCAAACAGAGTCTGCCAGGAGCCCTGAGCTGTTTCTCCATGGACCAGCCATGCCTTGCCCTGCCCCTTGCCTCCTCTGCTAACAAGAGATTTGGATATGACCTCTTAGGTCACGGGAGCTCCAGGACCTGCTCTAGGTAGTTAAGTGGGAACCAGCCCCAACCAGACCCTGAACAGAACTGGCATGGGCTGGGGTCCAGGGGTGATGGAGGAGGAAGATGTCCTGCATGGAGCCTCCCCCCTTCCCCCGCAGACACACTCCAGACCTGGGCAAAGAGCCTCTCCTTTGTCTGGGAGAAGCAGCTGCCCTCCCTTGGCACAGGGGGGACGTGGCTTGGTGCAATCCCTTCACAACCGCCACCTGGTGATACCGGCATGGAGAATGGGGTGGCACTCTACAACCCTTCATGTGCTTCCCCGGGGTGGGGAGCTCAAGGCCTCTTGTGGCTTTTGCCTCCAGCCTTCACTGTGGGGTCATCGTGCTCTTTCTTCTTCTGTGATCCTGCCCTGGGGACAGCCCGAGACTCCGCCTGGCTGGCACATGTTAGTCAGTGAGGGAAGGACAGAGGGGTAAGTAAGGAGACAGGAAGGTGAGAGCAACTCTCTGGCTTTCTCCTCGTCCTCCAGGAAGAGCAGCTCAATCGACTGAGTCGCAGATCTCCTCCACCACCGCGTTGAAGATGTGCGGCTGGTCTGCGTACACGTGATGCGAGGCACCCTCGATCTCCTATGGAGGGAGGACCCCACCAGAGGCAGGATGGCCCTTTATTCAAGGCACTGGAAAGCTGCCACACCATTTCTTTTTCTTGTAAACCTGTTTGCCTGTTGCCCGTAAGCATGTATTGTATCTAAGACAACTGTCCACCTTTCTCCCCATATCCTGGCACTTCCCAGTGGCAACCAGTGAATCCCAATGTCTCATCCTTTCTGCTCCTATGGTCCCTGATTGTATCTTTCCTTCCACGCTAGTCCCACCATGCTCATATCATCCACAGGTTCAATACCCAGGGCCCCTGAGGCACCAGACTAAGTAAGCACGAAGTGAAAATCCTTAGGTCGTGTCCAACTCTTTGTGATCCCATGGACCTATTATAGCCCACCAGGCTCCTCTGTCCATGGACTTCTCCAGGCAAGAATACTGGAGTGGGTAGCCATAAGTAAGCACACTCCTTAGCAAGTGAAGGTGGAGGCAGGAGAATGGTGGGAAGGCTTCTTGGCAGCCTCTATTGTACCCAGCTCTGATTTGGAGTGAGAATTACAGGGAAGAGGAGCAGCATGCTCCCTATGCCTGACTACTGGACAAGAACTTGCCTTTTAGCTTGACTGGCTACACAGAAGTGAGGAACCCTGAATTATGATATTACAGAGAGCCAACCCTTTCAAATTCATGACCCAATCTCAAGCTTTCCACTCCTCTTTCTCCCTGACTCTCCCATCACCGTTCGCTCCCTGGTCTCATAGCTACACTGAGTCAATCAACATGTGCTGCATGTTGCGAGATTCCCACCTCAGTCTGTCCCCTCTGGTGGCAACGTACCAAGTCTCGGACGTAGGAGTCCGGCCGCTGCAGCTTCACCTTTTTCCCCGTGCTGGTGTCTATCCAGGTGTTGGCCCCATAGATCATGGTGATGGGCACATCTTTTCGAATCAAGTGAATTCGCTCTAACATGGGGCGCCGGGCCCAGCCGAGGGACTCCATCATGGCTTTGAATGCTGTCTCCCCACTGGAAAAGCCAAACAGGTGAGGCGATGAGTAAATGCCACAGCATAAAATGTCAATTTGTGGGTCTCTCAGAGGCTGGGACAGTATCTTTGGCATCTTTTTGTTTACCTCAGAGCCCAGCACTAGGCTCATTAAATATTAGGAAGATGACGAGACAGGACTGAATCTCCAGAGGGTCCGGACACAGATGAGGTAGGAGGGACACACTTGTGAAAACCCCATGGCACCGAGGATTGTTCACTAGCATAGCAGGTTAATATGTATTTAACAGCTATTGATGTGGCAGCTCTGGGCGGAGGGTGGGCACATATGAACAAGACACATGCACTGCCTGCTCTCCCGGAGTTCCCATTTTCCTCGTCCTTCAGGCATTACATAATGAACTACAGGATTAACTTAACTTCAGATTTCCCAAGAATTATGAAAGGGTGGTGGAGTTCTAGGAGAACACACACTAGGGAGTTGGCTGGCTGGGGCTGGAGGAGAGGGTCGAAGACTTCCTTGAGGTGGGCTCTGAAGGGCAAGAACTACAGAAGCACAGAGGGTTAACTGAGGAGACTGGGGAATGAGAAGCCAGTCTTGCGAGGACCCGGGGGGGGGGACAGCAGTTTGTGCCACCTGAAAAGCAATGACGGCCAATCTAATCTACTTTGCTCCCTGGTCTTTCAGAGGTCGTGCCGGGAGGGGTCTGCAAGGCTGGAGGGGAAGGCAGCTGTCCGGACGGCTCTGTCACTTCTGTGGGAAGCAGGAAAGGCTGGGGTGACTGGCACCCAGCAGGCTCGGTCTGTTTGGGGGTTATGTCCCCAGTCTCCTTAGCATCCCTGAGATGAAGGGGAGCCTGAGTTCTACACAGGTCACCAGAAAGAGTCCTTTCCTAAGACACTGCAGCACAGTGAAACGGTCATGGACTCTGGAGTCAGACATACCTGCAAATCCTGGTTCTACTTTCTTAGCAAGTCGTGGAACCAGAATACACCTTAGTTCTCTCATCTACAAGCTGAAGAGAAATTATACCCACTTTTTGAGGTCATTATGGGGAAAATGAAAATATGTACAAAGCCCCAAGTTTAATGAAGCGAAGTAGGTATCCCACCCCCCAGATATTATTCTTTTGCTAAATTATATGTTTTCCAAGGGAATGGTAACAGTTACCATGAACTCAAGACTACAACTCAAAAAGACTCAAGGGCTTATAAAACTGAGTGATGGTGTTTGGGGGAAGCGGCTGGTTATCACCAACATCCTCTCTGCTTCTTCCAGGACCTGAGTGACTTGTGTGACTACATACTCTGTGGCTTAGATGGGAGGCGATTCATTATACTGAAGAGGACTGAGGCTGGGGAACGCTCTGAGGAAAGGACTAGGGGTGGGCCTGCTGCAAGGCCTCAGAGGGTATGAGACTGGCACCGAGCCCAGTTGAGAGGGGTCACAAGCAGGAAGCTGATTCGACTGTCGAACTGAGTTTCTAGACTGCTGTTTAAGCAGGACCCTTCCATCAGTTGAGCTTCTGAGGAATGCTGGATGGACAGTTCCCACGCTGCCTGAAAGCAGTCTGAATTTGAGGTCAATGCTCAGACAGTGCTATTGGAATGCAAAGTCCCAGTTGCTTCACAGCTTCGGACTGAACAGGCCTGAAATGAGGCAGGGCAATGCTGCTGCTCCCAGTGATCTTGGCTTGCCTGTGATGCCTCCCAGCAGCTTGGGGTGAAGTCCCCACAGAGGTGGTGCCTCATGGTATCAGCAGCTCACATGCCACTAACCAAGAGAAGATTACTTCCCTAACTCCGCCCTGGCTGGCGGCTGCCAAGACTGCGGATCACAGGGTACGGGCCAGGGGCCCACTGTCTGAGTTGTCACAAACATAAGCTTGTTGAGATTCTGGGGACATCCTCAATTCTCCAAAAGACAGAAAAGGCATTCCTATCCCAACAGTAAGTGTTTCAAGGTGCACAGACATTAAGTTTTAAAATGTATAATCTTTCCATCAGCAATTCTATTTGTAGGAATGTAGCCTAGAGGTACAGTCAGACGTGTGCCAAGATATACAAGGAGGCTCTCTGAAGCAATATCACATGATATCTCAGACAGAAAATAACAAGAAAACGAGGGAATTACAGGTCTGGGACAGGAGAGGACTTGCTTTCTTTCTTTTCCTTTACAAAAATACCATGTTCATAATACTTCTTCAGTTAAAAAAAAAAAAAAGATCTTTGCAAATGTTCTCCAGACTCTGCCTGTCAGGCCAACTGCTTACTTCCAGGGAAGAGTAAGGGTCTTCCTCTATAGAGACAGGTGGTATGTTTAATTAATCTATTATCTTCTCCATCCCTTTTTGCCTATCCCTGGGGAAATCTCTGGAAATAAGCACACCTGCTAATGCCTATGTTCCCCTAACTGGATGACAGCTCTGTGGAAGAAAAAAATACAGCACAGACTGATCTTGGGATATTTCTGGAGTTTTCCAGCAGCTGGAGTTTTAGGTCCAAACCCATCGACGTTGAGCTGACTCCCAGAGCTGCCCTCACCTGGGATTCTGTGCATTGCAGTGGTAGATATACTCTGATATAGTATCATCATCAAAGAAGTCTGCAAACTTGCGCTTGAAGTCGGGTCGGAATCGCTGTACCAGGCCGGGCCCTAGGAGGGAACAGAATGTGGAGGGGCCAGTTTGAGTGGGGAGGAAAGACCCCTGTCATTGTATGTTTTAACAACTTTAACCAAACATTATTTCTCTTAAGGGTTTGTTTGCTTTGTAAACTTAAGGTTATAGTGACAGAGCATGTTAAGTCTTTTGGGAAGCTCCAGGTAACTACAAATGAGAGTCAGTTGCCAAAAAATTTGGATAGTCTAAGGTCACTGAGGAACCAGATTATTTGCAGCTCAATGAAATCCCAAGATCCTTTCCTGCAAGGATCACAAACCACACAAGAGTCCATGGTTGACATGCTTTGCTTTTATGGTCTGAGCTGTGTTCTCTTTCTCCCTGAGAGCATGTATGGCTTTTTAATCTTCTGAAGGTAGTGGATGAAACCAAGAGCCCTCTCAGGTTCAGGCCTGTAACAGAATACAAGTGATGAGGTAAACCTAACACTGGCATCTCAGACTCAGGGCAAAGTTTTAGAGAAATCTGTTCCTTCCACCTTTCTTTAAATAGTCCACACACAAGCAGTTTAGGGCACTTGAAACAGACTGTAAAAATTGTGCCTAGTCATCAGCTTCTGGCCTCTCTCTCTCTTCCAGTCTGCTCTCTCTGTGTGAGGAGGGGTGAGAGGGAGGCATGGCAGGATCTCCTGGGCACCAGCCCTCCTCCAAGGCTGCCAGCCACCTGCCCCTACCATACTAGCTCTGATGTCTATGCATGGCCCTGGCCAGAGGCAAGTCCCGAAATGGGGACAGTGGTTAGAACAGGGCTCCTGCCTGGAGGATTCTGGAAGGTCTGCTGGAGTGCACAGTGCTGGGTACCCTAAGAAGACCAGTCCTCTGCCCATTTAGTACCTTTTGGCACCTGTGTCTCTTGTTTTCCTTCCTTTCTCCCCAGACTCCTACCTTCTGCTCAAGTGCTCACTTTTCTCTTTTACCCAGAGTCATTCTGTTTCTCTTGAAGGGCCGAGAGAGACAACTCTTATTCGGCCACTAGCAATTAACTCCTAATAATTAGCAGCTGAACATTACTGTGTATATATAAGCCATCAGTGCAAGACAGAGCGTCGCCCACCTTTACCATAAAGGGAAGCTGCTTTTACTTCATTAAAAAGCTCCTCTCCAGACAGGAAGGTGCTGGCAGTGTGAGGTCAGAAGCCTGGGGCCTACTAAATCTATGCACTCTGGCTGCCCCACTTCCTTCCTCTCTTCACTCACAGGATTTGCTAACAGCTACTAAGTGGAGATGTGGTGTCTGACTGGGGCAGGACATGGTGTAGAGGGGCTTGCCTGCCTCTGTAGGTGATGCTGGAGGCTCTGGTTCTGACCTCTCCTGGAAGCAGATGCTGGGTGAGCTGCAGAGATGGGATCCATAGTGACCACGCTGAAATACCAACAGCTGCCCCAAACCCACACATGTAGCATAAAAGTTCAGCAGAGGAAGAGTCACCTCGTAACCCCTTTCTCTCTCTCTGGGGCACAGAGTAAAAGTTCTGCTCCATCTGTCTCTTGAATAGAAAAGATTTTTCCATGCAGATGAAGGGAGGAAAAAAACCTTCTGAAACTGCCAACCGAGACATCTGGTCCAGATGAACAGCTTTAAATAATAATGCTAGGCTTATTCCCATTTTTCATGAACAAAAGGGGATAGTGAGAGTCCAGACACAGGGGAGCTTCTAGAATGGGACAGTTGTGGTTGGAGGAGACAGTTTCTTCATCTGCAGGCTACTCACCCCAGGGCCCAGCGACTCGAAGAACAGCCAGTGGATTGGAACGCCCTAGGACAGAGGCCACAGCCTTGACCCAGGTCGGGGGTGCACGGATCTGACTGGGGTCAGTTGGTCGGAGGGGAAAGCCCCATGGGTCCACCAGGATGAGGTGTTTAACTCTAAAGGAGGAAAAGGGAGAAGACAAGTTTTCTTTGCTTGAAGGTACCATAGCCCTTAAGTTGCCCAGGAAGAGAACAACTGGAAATGGGTAATGGAAGATTCCCAGCAAGGCACTGTTGTAATGGAGACAGGTGGCTTCTCCTTACCTGTCAGGGTACTTGATCGAGTAGGAAGTGGCCAGGAATCCTCCCAGACTGTGCCCTAGGAGAATCATACTGGGGATCCCCATGCTCTCCCGCCACGTTTCTATTGAGGTCACAAACTCGTCCTCGGCCCCCTCTGGATCCCTCGGGAACGTTGGCCTCGAGCTTCGCCCAAAGCCTAGCAGATCGAAGGTGTGTAGCGTGCGGCGGGTGCTTAGTGAATCCATGTTGAGGATCCAGAGGCCCACGCCGCCCCCGAAGCCGTGCACCATCACCAGTGGGGTGCGGTCCCTGAGCTCAGGGCTCACTGTCACTGTCCAGATCTTGTTCTGGTTTGGGAGGGACACATATCGAGCCAGGAACTTGTTCTGGAGGCCTGGGGAGAGGGGGTGCAGGGCAGAGGGATAAGACTGTGTGCTGACCACATCATCTTTTTGCTTGGACTCCCAGTTTTCAGCTCTCTCTCATCCCCAAACCCTTCCTGGCCTCTCTCACCTTTCCTTTTACAACTCTCTGATCATACAGCCTAAGAGTTCAACTCCAAGTACATTTTGTAGATGTCTATTGTTAGTAGTCTTAATTGCTTAGTCGTGTCTGACTCTGCCACCTCACGAACTGTAGCCTGCCAGGCTCCTCTGTCATTGGATTCTCCAGGCAAAAATACTGAAGTGGATTGCCATTCCCTTCTCCAGAGGATCTTCCTGACACAAAGATTGAACCTGGGTCTCCTGCATTACAAGCAGATTCTCTACTGTGTGAGCTACAGGGAAGATCCTTGTAGATGTCTAATCTGTAGGCATTAAGAGGGGCCATTGTATTCCCTGGGCTCCCTTTGGGTCCAGGGCAGAAGTGACCCCACAGAGCTCTGGCATTCATCACTCTTATACTTGTATATGCCTGGGGCTTGATCGATGGAGAATGTGTCCTCACTGAGGGTATCTGGGAGGGTCAAGCCAGGTCCCTATTAGGGAAAGATGAAGCTGGGCAGTGTTTGCTCTGCCAGTGTGAAGGCAGTCACACAGCAGAGCACCTGAGGTGAGTCACATGGATTTCAGACAGAGGCTTGAAAACTGACTGTTCTGTGGCTGTACTTACTCAGGCTCATAAGAGAGAGGGTAGCTATGGCTAGGGCAGAGGGTGCAGGGCAGGAAAGATCATATGAGAAATATGGGAAGATGGGGCCCAAGGGTCTTGTTTGAGTTGGTGGCTGCTGGTGCTCCTAGGGGGATGCCCTGATCCCACAGAACATTGCCTAGGAGAACTGGCCAGTGGGAGTGCCCAACTACTCTGGTAACTGGATGATGGGGAGGGGTGGCTTATTGGGTAGAATACAAGGAACAGTATTATTAGAGAATATAGGATTGCTGGTCCTTGGCTAGGAAGGTGGTAAATCTAAGAAGTGTTTGTCTGATGAGAAAGGGAGAGATGGAAAAAGAATAAGAGAAGCAAGAAGTGAATGTGTATTTGTACACATTGTGTATTAATAGCTGGTACAGGGTTCGAGGTGAAGTTGCAGGATGTGGCAGATGGACAGCATGCTGGACAGGGTGGGAGATGTTAAGAAACTGCTATCATAGAATGTGCACCCTCTGCACAAATTGCTTCCCTCCAATCATGGACATCCCTTCCTTCTATATTGAGCATTGTCAACCAGGAGTCAGTGGGCTCACTGGGCCAGGCTCTGGGAAGACCCTGTATTCTGGGGCTCCCGAGGGAGGTCGCATAAGCCACCTTCTACTTACACTGGAGGATCCTGGCTTCTACATTCTTCAGTTGAGACATGGAAGTGGGGCGCCAAGTGGGCAGCCAGCTGCTCAGCCAGCCTTGAGGCCTGGGACGGGAACACACAGAAACATTTATTAGCAATATTGCAAACATTGATACTCCCAGTCTTGCTGGCAGTTACAAAAGAGTTATCAAGGTGCAGGGAGTTTCCCAGGCTCAGGAAACCTGCCCCTGTGGCAGTCAGCAGTTCCCTGGCTGCCTGATAAACTGTTACTCTTCTCTGGTAAATGGTTATTAGCAACAACATACCCTTTGTTTCAACAGATACTCAGAAGACTATGTGTACAGCACTTTACAGTTTATAAAGCCCTCTCACTTTTTTTTTTTTTAAATCTCATTTGAGCTTTACAACTCCCCCTTGTTACTGGTTATTATAATGTTCAAGGAAGTTACAAGGGGCGGGGGAAAGGCCAACTTTTAACTAATGTTTCAGTTCTCCTTTGCCATGCCTAGGACTGTATGTTCCTTTAGAGCAGGACGAATTCCCATGCCACCTGCCCTCCTGGCAGAGTACCAGGGTTGCTCTATGCCTGCTTCCCAGCCCCTGGGAGCCCAGAGCACTGTGTCAGTGGCCAGTGGGGCTCTCAGGCAATCAGGCCAGACTTGAATGATGTGTTGGGATAGGCAGGGAGTAGGAGGAGGGAGACCTGGGTTCAAACTCAGTTTTGATCCCCTGATAGGACACATGTTGCCCCTGGCCTTGTTTCCAGATTATAAAATGAGTAGAAAGCTCACCACCCAACGGCTTGCAGTAAAACAGGTAAGATAACCTATCTTGTTTTCTACTTTACACCCAGGGGACTTTAAGTCATTGCAGGGTACAGGTTGAAAGTACCAGTGTTAGAGTAATTTTTTTATAACCCTAGATTTACGTCGTAGTAATGTCATTTATGAGAAGAATGGTGTTGGCCTGATAAATAACCTGTCTTTGAGTATCCAGCTATGAAAGGAATCTCATAAGGTGCCTGGGATAAAACAGATGCTCAATGAATCGCTTTTGTTATTCCTTTTCCATCCCATATTTCTCTTTCCTTGAACTCTGCCTAGATGAAGTGGATTTCAGGATGGACACTACCAGCTACAGGAAGGGCCTGTAAACGTCAGACTAGTCAAGCGGGGGCATTCTGTGAAGGAGTGAGGGCAACTACTACTTATCCCCTCTCGCTACACACTGGGCACCATGCTGCATCATTCGAAGTGCAGAATTTTAGATGAGGCTAGTTCCTTAGAAATCTAGTCCAGCCTCTTAATTTAACAGATGAGCAAAGTGATGCCCAAAGAGGCCATACATTTAGTTAGAAAAAGAAGCAGAATGAGGACCTGGATCTCAAATCCAGGTTTCAGGAATTCCCTGATGGTCCAGTGGTTAGGACTCTGTGCTTTCACTGCTGAGAAACAAGGCCAAAAAAAAAAAAAAGTCAAATCCAGGTTTTTCCTTGTGTTTCCTCTGGACATTCCAGCCTCAGCTTTTTAAGGCCACACATGGATACTTCAATATACAACCAGTTTTACACTTGCCTGCTTTCTGAAAGGATGTGTGACCTAAAGCCAGAGGTCAGAGTTCTAATCCTGGCATCACTACTCACCAGCCAGGTGAGTGTGTGTATATATATATATATACACACACACATACATATATATGTGTATATATATATATATACACACAATGCCCTTAGCACATTATTTAGCCTTTCTCTGTCAGAGTTTCCTCATCTTTAAAAGGGAGGTAATAATAGTATCTACTTCATAGGGTTGTCATAAAGATCAAATAAATTAAAGCACAGAATAATGCCTAGCACAATACACACTCTCAGTAAATGTTCTTTCCCCTGGCCAAATCATAAACTATCCATATTCTGTGCTTTTCAAGTAGCAAATCTCAGTTACTCAGATCTTAAGAGGTTTGAATTACTGAGGCTGCAGCTGAAACTTGTCCGTCAATGGCTTTAGCTGGATGAGAGCTGTTAGTCTCAATCCTACGAAGACTCAGAACCCTTCAAAAATCCACTGGAATTCCTTACAGGCTTGAGTGCGGGCACCAAGACCACAGAATGTTGCTGGTCTTAGGAGACAGACTTTCTCTCCATCCTACAGAGACTGTGACAAGTCAGAGCATGTCATATGGACCCCACATGGCCTTGTATCTGCCCAAAGTAGCACTCAGGAGAGATGCTGTCCCGAGGAACAGCATCATGGGCTGCTCTGCAGAGAGCCTCAGATATCCTGCCTTTCTTCTTCACTGAAAATGCTACCAGTAAAGTGCTGGAAATGGCACCTGGCACACTATCTGCTCAGTACCACTGGGGAGATAAGAAGGCCTGGGGTGGGGAACTGAGACAAGAAGCAGAGTGGCCCCTAAGCCACAAGCTTAGCCTGACTGGGGTGGTCTCATCCTTCTAGGGTCAAGGGATCTTTACCCTGATGGTGGGTGAGGCAGAAGAGGTTCTGTGGTATTGGGGTCTAACTTCTTTGGACACTGGATTCTTCATTTGTAAAAAGAAACTGCACTGACTGAATATCAACTCTAATATTCTGTGTTTCCTTAAGTCATTGTAGGTATTGTAAATTTCCTCTTGAAAGCATCATTTTGGAAAGTACCACTCTCCTTGGCAGTTCCTTCAAGCCTGTCACAACGTTATTAGTTTTGCAAGCAGCTCCAAAATGGGGGGAACGTGGGATTCAGGAAAGGCCCAGTTCTGGTATAACCCCGGCTTGGGTGGAAGCTGAGTCATTCTCCAAGCAACTTTTCCTTGTTCCTATCAGACGGTGAACTGCTTGCCACACCACCTACAGGTGGCATCCCAAACTTGATGTCACTGAGATCGCGGTAGCAAAATCCTAAGCTCTAATACTGAAACCGTAGCATTAAGGAGATTGTTAATGATGATTAAAAACTATCAACTAGGATTGCTGGCGAATTAAGCGCCTCGCTGGGCGAAAGCTAAAGGAATTTGCAAGCCTATTAACCTAGACCAATTCCAGCCCAGGGGAGCCCTCTCTCCGCTTTCCAAGCCTTCGCCTTGCGGCGCTAAGCGATGCTCTTCCCACACCTCCGACTAGCGTCCGGGAGCAAACGCAGACTAGCAGCAGAGCTGGCTGCTATCCCCGCACCCGCGTCCACACACGCTTGCTTTGAGGGATCTGAGACATCACCACTAAATCTAATACCAGGGTGCAGGCACTAGAGGGGAGCGAGGAATGATCGCCGAGACTAAACTGGAAAGTCAGAATCGCCGGGCTGCAGGCAAGCGTTATCTTCCATCGTTCCCTCGGCTCTGCGGCCGCAGCTCCTGGGCAAAAGCAAAGCAAGCAGCCGCAGCCCCCAGCCCTCCCCAGAAGCCGACCTGGAAACGAAAGGCGGGAAGATGTCTAAAACTGTTCCTCAGCCACAGACAGTCCCAGGTTCACGGCCCCGAGAGAGAGAGAGAGAGAAAAAAGGGACAAGGTTAACTCACTGCTGGTCCAGATCATCGGCCATAGTAAACAAGCCCTGCCGGGTTGAGCTGAGCCAGCCCATCCCTCCGCCTGACGCCAGCACCAGCTGACCCAGAAAAGGGTCGGATAACAAAGTGGGGCGTGGCCAGCGCCGCGGCCGGGGAGGCGGGGTCGCAGGACTCGGGCTGGGCCAGCCGGGACGCGTGAGCTGTCTCTGAGCCCCGACCGCAGTCAGGCCACACATTTGGGGACGAGGGAGGTAAGTAGTACTGAAACTGCGAGTTCCTCCGTCAAACCTCCATTCTCTGATAAGTAAAAGGTAATAGAATTACCCCTGCACGCTCCCACACACTCTTCCCTATTACAGACCCCAGTCCCACCAGGTCCTCTCCTTAGCGTTCCTTCTAAGCAGATGCTTAAGATGTTTATGGACACAGTGCCAACGGTGGAACGCTCCTACGAAGGGCCTGGGAGCTTGTGGCCCAAGTAGACTGCCAGATTTTGTAAATAAAACTAGGACGCCTAGTTAAGGTTGGATTTCAGATAAACATCAACTACTTTTTTAGAGTAAGTCTGTCCTGTGCAATATTTGGGACATAACTGAGCATCTTGTATTTTATTTGGCCACCCCAACCTTAAGCCACGCCAGCCAAGATGAGCATTCCTCAACCCTGGGTATGTCTTTGGCCCCAGCCTGGTTCTCAGGAACAAGGTGGCTCAACCTCAGGTCTCCGTCAGTTTGGACGATCCCTGCATCCACTCCCCGCTGGAGGGAAGTTGAAGGACTAACCTGTAAAGCTGGGTCGGTTTTAAGTAGCTGGAATGGGGGCGGGTGGTGAGGGGGAGAGAAGTCCTGATTGGTTTGCTCCGCAGAGGAGCCAAATCTTAAGGCTGGCTGGCTGGCTCCAGAACTTACCTGAACTGGATAACAAGGCCTGATGTCTCTGTAACCGGCATCCTCTTTTATTTTTTAAAAATTTATTTATTTTTTCCGGCATTCTCTTGATAAGTTTAAAACCAGACTAGTAGTGGAGGGTGGGAGAATACTGATGCTAGGGTTTGTCAAGATGGGTTTTTTTTGGTTTGTTTTTTTAGCCTTCCTGGTAGACCCAGGAGAGTCTGTGATTTCTTCTTTCATGTAACACAGTGTTAAACTGATCTGATTATCAAAGGGCAGGAAGTTCAAGAGAATGGGTATTTAATACACTATTGATACTATGTTGAAATAGGTTAACTAATGAGAACCTACTGTTTAGCTCAAGGAACTCAGTGCTCTGTGGTGACCTAGGTGAGAAGGAAATCCAAAAAAGAGGGTATATATGTATACATATAGCTGGTTCTCCGCTGTACAACAGAGACTAACACATTGTAAAACAGCAGGTAAAGGCTCCCACTCCCGCATTCTGGCCTGGAGAATCCCATGGACCGTATACTCCATGGGATCAAGCAAAGAGTAGAGCACAACTGACGACTGTCACTTTCACATTCCAGTAAAAATTAATTTAAAAAAAGAGAGAACGGGCATTTTTAGAGCTTGGGGGTCTAGGAATTTGCAAGGTGTGGAGCAAGGTAGTATTAACAAATGAGGACCCATCTTGTCACTTGTTCTTACCACAGAGTGATCCTAAACCTCAGGATGCATGACCATCATCTGGAGGGCTTGTTTAAAAATTCAAGTTTCCAGGACTTCCCTGGCAGTCCAGTGGTTAAGATTCCATGCTTCCAATGTAGGGTTTGAATCCTGGTTGAGAAACTAAGATCCCACATGCCTGTGAGGTGCAGCCAAAAAAAAAAGTTGCTACAGCCCTACCCTCTGAGATTCTAATTCATTAAGTTTGGTTTGATGCTAATAGCTGCATTTTTAGGAAGCACTTCAGATGCTAAAGTTCAGTAGGACTCATTGGAAATTAGAAGATAATTTCTAGGGTCAGAATTCTGGGTGCAGGTCAATTTTGGCTTTGCAGCTTATCTGCTACATCATTGTGAGTAAATTATATAGCATCTCTAAATTTTCCTCCTCCGTTTCCTATTTTGTTGTAAGAATTAAGATAATTCAAACATTTAGTACATTTGTTTATGCTAAAAAGTTACTATTATTATTAACATACCTATTCAAAGCCCAGCATTATGTTAAGCACTAATAACACCATTATCAAAAGTAAAGAAACAGGGACTTCCCTGGTAGTCCAGTGGCTAAGACTCATTTCGTTGCAACAAAAGATCCTGCATGACGCAACTGGAACCTGATGCAGCCAAATTAATTAATTATAAACACACACATACACACGCAAACCAAGGTGCTAAGTGTTATGAAAAGGGAAATGTTGCCCATAATTTCAATAAACGAATATTACCTGCTGTTCCAGTAAACAATGAATGTTGCCTGCCATCAGGCCATCAGCCAGAGCAACCGTTGGCTGCCCACTCAGCCCACCCCGCCATGGTGTGCCCTGAAGGGAATTCAGGAGGGAGATAAACAGGAAACTGTCTGTCCTAGATAGTTAAGATGCATATCTAAGGAATAATTCTTATGTGTAGTTAAGGACTAAAATCACTAACTTCAGATGTCTGGTTTTTGTGATTTCCATGTTCCACTACATGTCTCCACCCCCTGACACCCCCACACAGCAAAAACTGCAATATATCCTGGCTCCTCCCTTACCTCTTGGGAGCAGTTCCTCAAGGCAATCTGAGGAAGGTCCCCAAATAAAACTTAACTCTCAGCTTTTAGTTTGTGCAATTTTTCTCTGGTTGACAGTGTCACGGGCTTTTGGAAGCTGTGCCATACAGGATATTCCAGGCTACATCACTGTTAGGTTAATAGAATCTCCCACTTTTCAGAAAACCTGTAAGATGTAGAACTTTTCAGGGTAAGCAGACCTGGCCGAGTGCTGAAGAATTGATGCTTTTGAACTGTGGTGTTGGAGAAGACTCTTGAGAGTCCCTTGGACTGCAGGGAGATCCAACCAGTCCATCTTAAAGGAAATCAGTCCTGAATATTCATTGGACAGACTGTTGCTGAAGCTGAAACGCCAATACTTTGGCCACCTGATGCGAAGAACTGATTCATTTGAAAAGACCCTGATGCTAGGAAAGATTGAAGGTGGGAGGAGAAGGGGATGACAGAGGGTGAGATGGTTGGATGGCATCACCGACTCAGTAGACATGAGTTTGAGTAAACTCCGGGAGCTGGTGATGGACAGGGAGGCCTGGCATGCTGTAGTCCATGGGGTCGCAAAGAGTCGGACACGACTGAGCGACTGAAGTGAATTCGGCTGATGACCTGGCTGGAACTGATGTTAGATCTCTCTCTCTTGAGGCAGTGCAGAGGCGTTTGTATTTTGTCTTTGTGTGCCAAACCAGCTCTACTGGTTGATCATGAGTAGGAAACTTCAACATGTGGAAAATGCCTTTTATAACTAAAGTTAAGAGATCTCTTAAGATGTCCCTATTACTGATCTGAACTTGTGTCCACTTGCTGTGCAGCAAAGCTAATCTATTGACACTGGGTTGTGATGAAGGAAAGTATAGTGGTTATTGTAGGCCCCCAGCCAGAAGTACAAGTGGCTTCTGCTCAGAAGACCTGAACTCCCTGAAGGCTTTCAGGAAAGGGTTATTATTTTTTTTTTTAAAACTTATTTACTAAAATTTTTTAAAGTTGATATATTTTAATAGAAGTATAATTGATTTACAATGTTGCATTAATTTCTTCTGTACAGCAAAGTGATTCAGTTATACACATACATACATTCTTAAAGGCAACATTTGAGGTGAGAGTTACAAGGTGCATGACTTTCTTCTGATTGGTTGGTGGTGAGCTAACAGGATGGGGTTTTAGGAATTTTAATCATCAGCCTTCTGGTTCCAACCAGTCTGGGGTCTATGAGCTTGTGTTCAGCATGCGGTTACCATCCTCCACCTGGATTGGGGGCGTCAGTTCCCGCAGAACACCTCAAACATAAATGTCAGGTCATTATGTATATCCTTTGGGGAGGAACCAGGGCTGCTTTAAATTGTTTCTTGACTGCTTGTCCTTTGTTTCTGTGTTCCCTCATCTCCCTAATTAGTAACCACTTGGGTCTGCTCTTTGGCACTCAGGGAAGGCCTAGGACACCAAAGACTTTTTCTTAAAAATAATTGTATTTATTTATTTATTTTTGGCTTTGCTGGGTCTTCCTTGCTGCTTGGACTTTCCTCTAGTTGGGGCTACTCTTCATTGCAGTGAACAGACTTCTCATTGCCATGGCTTCTCCTGTTGTGGAGCATCAGCTCCTGGCTTGCGGGCTTCAGTCATTGTGGCTCATGGGCTCGGTAGTTGCAGTTCCAGGGCCCTAGAGCACAGGCTCAAGAGTTGTACAAGGGCCTGTGGGATCTTCCCAGATCAGGTATGAAACCCATGTCTCCTGCCTTGGCAGGTGGATGGATTCTTTACCACTGAGCCACCAGGGAAGCCACAAACCCTTTTTCTACAAACAAGAAACAGGGGACACAGGAACTTTTGTACCAGGGAGGGTCCTACAGGGCTCTGTTTGGTCTCATCCCCAGAGCTGAGATATCTCAGGGTTAGGCTGGATCTGTTAGAATTACAGAGTGGAGAAGATTCTCAGGGCCTGCTCTAGACAGGCCTCTGGGGAGAAACACAAGGTACTTGCTTCTCCTTAGCTTCAAGATAAGAGTATATCTTTTACCTCTAACATATGTGATTCTATGTATGATTAAAGTATGAATATGGTCTTTATGAATGGAAACTAATTTTTTAACAAACCTCTTTCCTGTGCCTGTAAATCACATTAAATTTTCCAGAAATAGGTGGAACTGATGACCTGATAGCTCATGCCTGCCAGGGATAGATTGTTCTTTGGTTTCAAATGGGTGTCATTGCCTTTTGAATGAACTATAAATAAGGTCTGACCCTCAGATTAAACAAAGAAAGTGAGTAAAATAGCTCTAAAGTCGCTCTCTCCAATATGATAGCCATCAGCCACATGTGGCTACTTAGATTTGAATTAATAAAAAATCGAAGTTCCTTAGTCACATTAGCTACATTTCAAGCACCCAACAGCCACCCACATGTGTCTAATGGCTATCATATACTACATGGCACAGAGGCTTTTTTATCATTACA